AGAATTCCTTGAGAGGGGTGAACTTTGTTGAAGGTTGGCTTTCCCGTCAAGGAATTCTTATTGAAGAGCAGGTCGTTTCTTTAGTGCATCTGCCAGTCGACTAATCTCAGAAAAACCCTTCTTCAATTCTCTGCAGCACATTTCTAAGAATCTTGAATCTTGTTCCTGTAACCTTTACAAAATCCTTCCTGCACTGTTATTATATCGCCTCTTAGAGTACTTTCTAGTAAATTAATCTAGTGTATTACACAGAAAACCCGTTTTGCAATTGTTCTGCCATAATTTCATAATTTTTCCTGGATTTTTCCTCGATTTTTTCTCATTTTCTCGCACGGAATGTTATCATCGGCTTCACTATGTCGTTGTTGACCTTTCCAAGCGTGTGTCTTCTTCGTCTATTTTTCTTTGGTCGCTTACGACTCGGCCGAACACGTATGAAGGGGGAAGTGTCCGAGTCGAGAGGGCCCTTCTCCTTTTACCTATTCATTGTCCGGTCTATTCATGAGCCGCCTTACGTACACATCAGGGTTAGGGTAGCCGGAAGCTGAGCGCCCGACGTCAACCTGGTTCACCAGATGATTGAACCCTGGGCAAAACTTTTCTAGAATACTTCTATTCAATACAAAACTACGATTGACCTCTTCACTACGGATTACCGTAATCGTTTGTTTGTATAGATGCGTATAACAATACCTATTACTAGTAACTTAATGCCACTAGCATGTTTGTACCTAACCAGGCACATAAGGTGTGAATTTCTCATGTTCTCATTGGGGTCTTTGTTGTACCGCGAGGATAGCGGCACGCGTCTCTAGCCCTCATTTAGGGTTCCCTAACACCTCCCTGACTCGTAGCCGTCGGTGATCGCTTTCACCCAGGACATGTGCTAATCGTAGAGAATTAATGTTACTCACTGGGCGATATAACCCGAGGAATTGCTTGAAAAATGAGAAAATTACCTCTACCTGGGGTTATGATTGGGTAAGGAGCATAGTGACCATCTTTTCTGGGAATTTACTTCCTTCCTATGGAATCCCCTTCTCCTGCTAAGCCCTCACGATTCCGCGTAGTTATTCAGGAATTGAGCTGCTTGATAATAACAAGCAGCATTTACTACTCACTTAACTATGCAGTTCCCCCTCATTTCTCTATGCATTTGCTGACATTTTTCCCATCGATTCGTCCTTAGCCCCCTCTGAGATTACGAGATTATCCCATTAACGGCCGAAATCAGTAGTCACCTGAGAAAACTAAGCCGTCCTCATTTTGAAAGGGTCCAGCCCGGTTGCCGTATGTGTACCCATAGATCTTCACCTAGCGGAAATAATGCGGTAATAAGAGATGCACTATGTTCGGCTGCTTTTGGGGAAAAGGAAGGTGACGTCACCGAAGAGTTACGGTACCTAAACAGCTTTCACACGCACCGCCATGTGGGACCGGAAAGCGGTCAGAAGCAGGTCATGCATAGCGCTGTTACACAACTAATTACAGTATTTCTAGGCTTTTCGGCACCAAATGTAGCCGTTGTGATTTGCCGTTCGATCGAAGTGAATTGGTGATGAGAGCCCGACATGCCGTCTATCACGTCGCCTGTTTTTCCTGTGTTGCCTGTGAACGCCAACTGAAAACCGGTGATGAATTTCAGGTGAGTAACAGCGGGGGATTGCCGACGACATTCTCGGCATGAGAAAAGAAAATATTTTTGAGGGGATAATTCCTGGTCGGCATTTGGCTAATGCTACGACAAGCATGACATCATGTTGTCTAAAAAAAGGGATTATCGAAGACAAAAAACCACTCAGGCGATCCATCCAAGCTGGGAAATCCTATTAGGGCAAATTCGTCGTCTAGCTGGTGGCCAAGGTCACCTAGGGAAACAATATCAATTTTGCAATTCAAAATACCCATCAAGTACATGGATCATCATCACAGCTCAGAGTGGGGCTACAATGATGTCGTTCTTGGATCTGTTCTGAAAGCTACGAAATTGAACCCAGCTTGAGATCGAAGGGTGAAGATTGAAGCTTATGTTGCTCCTCCTGTTCGTGGAGTCCAAGGAACCACCCAAATTGGGAGCTTTGGTTTGGGCCAGTCTGAAATTCCAGGACATAAATCCATGGTGTAAAGAGGTGGTGCGGGTTTAGTGAATTGAAATCGCTCCGCGTCTTCATAGGGTCCCTCTCCTCAAGCAGGATGGCCCGACTCTTTGTAGAGCATCTCTCAAAGTCTCAGCCTTTAGTGGCTTTCTCGCCAAGATGTGTTGCCGTTCTTGCTTGTTGCTCACCCTAGTCAACTGATGCTCATCTCTCTCTTGCTTACTGCCGTAAATCTAAGCCTAATATCTGCCACCCTTCGTGGCCCATATGTAAACTTACTTTTACCGCAACCCCCCTAGTAACTGGGAACCTATCCCTGACCAGTCTTAGGTAATCTGCCAATTAAATACTAAAAATTTTCCCATAGAGAGTCTCAAACGGTTTACAAAGGAATCAGTTTCCCTTAGGAATCTGTCCACTTTGGCTGATCGAAATGATATGGGAATGTTACTGATTTTTGACTGCCTGAAAACTGCTAATGGTCAAGGAATCAGCTGTCAGTCTTCTAAGTGCAAGCACTAAGGGTCAACCCTGTTGTTAGCCTGGAAACCCACAGAATGTCCAAGTAGTTAGGCCAAAGTTTCCCAGCCCGAAATTTGGAAAAGAGAGGGAAAAATCAAACGCCATATACACTACAAAACCTAAGTGACTGCACTTTGCACCGTTTCAGATTAAAGCGTTTTTCTTTATTTTTAAGCCAAAAGGTTTTAAGTTAGTCTTCGTCTCCTAAAAATCCTGCACGAAGTTTGAAAGAGGGTGAAGAGTGGATTCTCTGAAAACCCTCTGAATCGTTCCAGATCAAAGCAATTCCCTGTATTGTAGAGCTGATTGTGAAGCCGGAAATGTGCCCGAGGTAGGTTAACCCTTTGGTTCGATCCCGGTTCTGTCAGAAGTCCGTGTATTTCCAGCCGTCCTCGATACCAACCCCGTCTATGTTCGCCAACGATGATTCGTGGGAAACGTCGACGATGACGTCCTTGGATCACACCACCAGCCCTCCACTTTCCGTACGGTAAGGTTTACCCCTCTTTTTGACCCCTTCATTTTGCACTGATATTCTCACTCTAGCTCTCCAAAATCGGATGATATGGGTACCCCGCAGAACAACGGCTTTCACAACACCACCAGCAGGTTTCTTTCAGCTGGGGGGGGGTTCATCTGGAAGTTATACGATAAACAGGTTTGTGTTTGGATAAACTGACCCGTCAAGCTGATCCAAGAGTTGCTTTTCTTCAGACGACGAGGGTCCGAACGGTGCTGAACGAACACCAGCTGTCAATTCCTGAAGAAATGCTACGCGCTGAACTCCTCGACCTGACGCCTTACTCAAGGAACAACCTCGTGGAAATGACTGGTATGGGACATTTCCTGCGTTCAGGGATCCATAACCCTTGAAATAGAACACCATTTTTTAGCGCTCAACGCCAGAGTGATTCGGGTTTGGTTTCAAAATAAGCGTTGCAAGGATAAAAAACGTCAGATTCAGATGCGTGACATGGCTGTGAACGCGGAGAAGGTGAGTTTTTTGATTCGTAGTCCTGTGTGCTACGTCATCTGATGGGCCACCGTCCGTCGTTATTATTATTATTATCCCGTTGATCCGTTTATTTAGCAATGACCGCAATTACACACACACTCACACAGCCACTTGTGTAAACCATTCGCAATTACACTATTTGCACCAGCTCTTCACTACTACTTACTACTTACTTACTTGCTTATGACCACGTTAATCCTCAGTTCCATACCGGCCCTCACTTGGCACGTTGCAGGAATGCATTTGGTCAGATAATAAGCTTGGAACACGATTTTATTTCTTCTCTATGCAACATAGGTTTAAGGCGATTCAGCTCCTTATTGGGGTAGGGGGACGAAGGGGGGGGGGGTGAGGTGGGGATGAGAGAGCATCCATTCGATACTACTCGAAGTGTCAACCCACAAATCTGTCCAGACAATCAAGTCCACCCTATCAGACCTGAGGTTCCCACTGGCAAGCTACCCATCTGGTTCCAACCCCTACCCAGTTAACCACCTCATCAGTGCCCTGGTAATGTGTGCAGTGAAGCGACTAGTCGAGTATTGTTACCAGCGTTTAGAGACGCAAAACGGCGCAAAATCCAAAACAAAACACTCGCTGAACCGTGGGAAATTTCCCGCATACACTACTGTAGAGAAGGAGAAACAAACTTTCGTTGCCCGCCCTTGCTTCTCCCACACCCCTGCTTGAAGGCGGACGCACCAGTTTGACTCAAGGTAGCTGCCCCCCGTCTTCCACCCGGCGCCTTTTTCCATAGTCGCCCGAAAGAGGTTGTGGAAATCCCAGTGTTGAAAAACAAGGCGTCGCCGACTATAATCTAATAACACCGTAACTAGTTCCACTGTGTTGTGTGTTTACGTCCTTCGACGAATACCGTACACACGTTCCACTGCGTTTCGGATACCGTACCCCATTAATTAGTTTTCTGTGTGTGGCGACGTGAGCGCGCCAGCGCCGTCACACGGACTTGCTCGGACTGTTAATTCGATCACCAATTACTGAGGCTATGTCTCTGTGATTGAAACGCTATTTCAGCTCAGAGCGCACTTGGCCCAATATCAGCCTAAGGCTCGATCTAATTTAGGGTTCAGTGTACGACCGAAGAAGAGACACCGGGGGAGGATCGATGAGGGCCCGGCTGCTGCTTCAGGAAATCGCTGATTTCTCCCACTGTTGACGCAGCTAGCCATGGGTTAAGGAGTCGTACCTCAGCTTAGCATGTAAAGCGCTGCAATGGTGTTTGATATCCTGCTGGAGCGGTGCGGAAGCGGATTAATCGCGAAGATATCGACAGATAAGCCGCGGTCGCGTTATCAGCCCGCGCCAGCCTCAGAAGCGACTACTGAGTTTTCATGTGTGTTATAGGAGGGAGAGCGCTGAGTTGGATGAGGATATGGGATGAGGCCAAGACAGCCAACCAGCCCAAACAGACGTCTCTTCATTCACGCTCATCACATCGTCGACCATTAATCGTCACAATTAGCCTCTGTACGACCGCCTCTGATCTGTCGTCAATTTAGCCAGCGAAAAAACACTGCGCTGAGCATCAGCAACAGTTTTTTCACGGGGTGGCAAGATGGTGGCACCACCTGGCGACCAGTTCCCAATTTATGACAGCACCAAATTGTCGCTCATTTTCCCGACCACTCGACCTCACAAATGAAACGAGAGGGGCATCCTTACGCTCTTATTTCGTGGCAGCCGAGAATTTGCGGGAGGTTTTGGGAAAAAGGATTAGTTGAAGTCTTTCAACTACTTGTAGCCCCTGTTTCGAGCCCTATGAGTCAAACATTTCTCTATGATTTAGCTCCTGAGCGTAGCCAAAGCTTCACAACCTGCTAAGGCGCCTTGAAAACCGTTTGAAATAATCCTTTTGCTCAAGTCTGTCCCCCCTCTGCCCGTTCTCCATCCGTAGGCCTTTCTGGTTTCTGATCCACCTTTTTAAGGCCTTCTTTGAAAACGTAACTAGGAATTTGAACTGTAGCCCTAAATTAGTCCTATGGTTTGAATTCCTGGATAAGTCCGCTCCCACTTTAGCGGAATGATGCACGTTTTCTTGTTCGTCCCATTTTTTTGCTCGCACGTTTGTTTGTCAAACAGAGTTATTCTTTCTCCGGAAAACAAACAACATGACAAAAACATTTGAGCTAAACAGTAAACAACAAGCAAACTGCAGTTTAAATGACGAGCATTTCATAAGACCGCCTTTTTCTGCCAAGCGAACTTTTCTTTTGAGGGAGAATTCTTATTGACCACAATAGTTATAATGTATGCTATACGAAGTTCTCCCCTTGGCTCCTTTCCATCGCGTCTCCTGAAGGCATAGGACTTGGATATTCCTGCGCGTCATCAGATCAGCAACCTCTCGGGACTTCCCAGTTAGCGATCCTACGTTCAGAGTCCCAATTCGAACTAGCTTCTTTGGCCGAGGCCGTTCACTCCTCGGTAGCCCTCGCATACTGACCACAGAACTCGGGCGGGGGTTCTGCGCGCCACTTCCGGGTGACGTCCTAGCTTTATCACTTGATACCTTTCCAAGAATGGCTTTTCGTTTGAATTCTAGATGGGTCTTTTCATGCTTTTAAAACTCATATACTTTGCATAATATGTGTATGACAAATTATATAGTATTCAAATTCATAGCTAATTTTCTCATTCATACTCAACTCTGAAGGCCCGTATAGGTGGCAGAGCTAGATAAAATAAGTTAACATTTCAGTAAACTTTTCAAAACATCTTTTGCCGATTTCGAGTAAAAATAACTTTTTTCGAGGAAATCCAGGCTCATGCTTTTACCTGATTATTCCAATGCTCTAAAAATAGCTAAGGACCACACATGACATTCACTTAATCTCTTACAAGGAGATCTCACTTTTTTTCCGAAAAAATCTACACTCGAGTTTTTACCTGATGTATTGCAATGCTCTAAAATAGGGAAGGACCACACACGAAGTGTTAATCTCACGGGAAAGTAATCAGCTTAAATGTGTTTAGCTGAGATGAGGTGAGTGAGTAACATCGAGTAGCTCTCAACTTAGATGTGTGACGTTTTGCGTCATCGCTTACCTCAATAGGCAGAAGCAGTCCCTCTCAAAAGAATGCCATCAGAGATAGAAATGATTTTTTGTAGTTAAATTCTCCAAGGCGATGGTCCATCGATCAACCTTCAAGCTTGGGAACGAAGGGTGACTACACGAACTGAAAATTGAGTCTTTGCCGGTCGTGACCGTGTCTTTCTCGGCCCAATTACCTGCAACCGGAACCCATAAGGAGCGAATTCAAGGTCTTTCCCAGAGTAATTTCTATTGGGTCTACTGATTACAGGAACCAACTAGGCGGCCTAGCCCTGGGTTGGCTCCTCCATCTGGGTAAAAGCTACCATGGGTAAGGAATTGGCAGGGATACTCAGCAGTTGAGCAGAACACTTAACGGTCTACTTCTCGTCAACTTACCCACCATATCCGCTACACGGTACTGAGGCGTTTTCGGTTCCCTCTGGTCACGAAGCTCCTGCTTGTCGTCAGTGGAAGGTAGAAGTGATAACAAAATTACAATAGGGAAGGGAAATAATATTTCACTGGCTAAATTCCAGAGAAGTACTCTTTCGTATCATTACTGACCATCGTTTTCACGGCAAGGCTCCCTATTACTTTTACCTACTTACTTCAAATTTTGGGTTTTTTTAATAACTCAATAAATATTCGGAGCAGAAAGCTATCACACTAAATTCGAAAGCCTCTGTTGTTATTTATTCCCGAGAATATGGTTTCCATACGGAGTTTTTTTCTCTGGGAAAGAAAAGCTACTGAGATATCTGCCCGTAAGCGTCCAAATATTCGGTCCGGGCTGCGCCACAAACCTTGTCTCCACTTATAACCGTAGCGATATTTGAAAGCATAGCGCTCCTGAACATTGAGTTTACGAGGCCAATAGATGCCATTATAGCCTACCGAAAAATACAGTGATAGCCAAGTGGGCTGAAGTGACGTCGTGCTTAAAGCTGTTTGTTTATTCATCCATTTAGTCATATATTCATAAACATAACTTCGAACGCACAATTCGGACCAAGCAAAATCTTGCGCTTTACCTTTATTAAGTAAATAACGAATAAGTAAGTAAAAGTAAAAGTAAAGTAAATAAATAATAAAGGGAGTGAATTTTGATTGAATAAATATTAGATAATCAATTTTGTCGTGAAGCTGCCGCGCACGATACACCTCCTGAGCATGACAATTCCAACTCTTCAGCATTCTGAGGCAGTGGTTTTCGTTCTTAACCGATTGCCGCTGCACAGGGAGGGTTGTTGTGCTTGTTTTTTTCCTCAAGGCAAAATTGGCTGGGATCTCCCCGCAAATGTAGACCGGGCCTAGGTCCTCTACTACTAATTTACTTTGCCGTCTTTGGAACTTCTCTAAATTCTTTTGACTTTCATTGAGGCGATATATCGTATTCAGTACAAGTTATTGATTGACTTGATGCATTTACTATGGTATTTTGTTGATTCAACACGACTGGGGGGGGGACTTCGCACATTATTTCCAGGGATTGTGTTTGTTCCAGAAATAGCGCGTACCATTCTTACGTGGGTACAGACAGATCACAACGATAGAGCTGTGTGGTGAAAGTGATATGTTTGCTCTCACACATCCCTCACAATCTGCGCTGACATACTGCCAGCTTGCGCTTCTCAGGTTCAAGCACCTCTTCTCTATAAATAGAATACGGTCGACGGCCGGGTGGCACATATGGTGAGGCAAGTGTAGAGTGTTTATGCTTATGAATAGCCATCATCGAACGTTTGACCGCTCTGTGGTGTGTCCTAGCACCCGTGAGCGCACGACCTCTGAACAGTTTGAAAATCCTGCTCTGCGGGGGTCACTGGATGGAAATGGATACCGGCTACCTAATAAGGATGTGTGCTGGGCGACCCTGATGCACTTGTTACATCACTGATGGGCCACTGGACGAATGATTAC